CTCCTGTACCAGTCAGATCTGCTTTGATGGTACACACATAAAAAAAAATAATAAAATTTGAAAAAATGTCCATTTCAAATGCTAAGGAAGTTTCACGGGAGGTCCTGAAGTAGGGAGTGTTGCGGGCTAGCCTTCTCAGTGTTTCTCTTTACTCATTCTCTTCTAGCTAATAGAAAGATGACTACCACAGTTACTCATTCACTGCATTACAAGGCAGAAAAGACACTCCTCATACTCCAGCCCTTCAAACAAAGAGCCTGATATTGACTCTGGTTGGAATACTGAAGTCACATGTTCCACCCTGAACCAGTGACTGTTTTTGAACTGGGGTGTTAAAGATGAGATTGAGTATCTCGCAGATGCCAAATGAACAAACAAGTCTACCTTGGAGGACGTATGACCAGAGTGCTCCCTAAAGGCAAGGATGGTGAAACTTTCTCTCATATACCTTGGACACGCTGTCAGGAGGGCAGGTCCTTGGAAAAAGCATCATGAAAGGAAGAAAGGAAGAGATACAAAGACTCTCAAAAAGATGAATTGACGCAGTGGCTACATCAATGGGCTCAAGCTTGACAGAGAAGATGAGGATGGTGTAGGACAGGGGAAGGTTCAAGGGTCACTGAGTTGTAATTGACGTTATGGACTCTAACAACAACAAAAATGCACTGAAGGGACATGAGATTCTAGACAAGGAGACCACTAAGGAGCCACAGAATGAATAGATGCTGCTCAGGGAGCAGGCCTGGAGGAGGAGAATGGTTCTAAGAAATGTTGAGAAGGACGATGGATGTGATTAGAGTGGTGAAAAGGGAGAGGGTGGAATCCAGAACAATTGCAAGGGCTCTGACTTGGTGTTGGTGGTAAGTTAGGGACCCACTTTAAAGGATGGAGAACTTAGGAAACAGTGAATTTGGAGGGAGAAGATGAGTCACTTTTTTGGACATGTTCAACTCAGGTGCCTGTGGGAGATCTAAAATCCAGTAAGGAGTTGAGATTGAAGCTCATGGAAAGGATCCAGTCTGGAGAGCTATATTTTGGAATAATAGGCTTGAGCAAGACCGCCAAGGAAATGGTGTATAGAGAAAGGATCTTAAGAAGATGTCTGAAACGGAGAATCAGGAACATGCTATTCTGGGATGAAACTAAACAGAGGGAGGTTTTCCAAAAGGAAGAAAGAGTCAATACCTTAAAGACTCTTGAGAGGACAGGAAAGATGGTACTATAATGTTTCTGATGAATTGCAGAGCTTGACTTGATCATATACAGTACACAGAGCGCCAGGGTCCTCAGCCTCCACAGTCCCTCTTCAGCTTTATGAGGGAGACTGGCCTGCTTCTCCCCTGTCAGCCTCAGTTCATTCAGTCTCAGTCCAGATACAGTGCCTGTGACCTTTCTGAGATATTTATGGGGATCTTGGCTGAATAATAGAGGACAGACAGCAACTAGCATAGGGCCAACCGGGTCCCTGTTAACACTGGAACACTGAAAACATTGAGGTTGGACACATTACCCCCCTGAAGCCTTTCCTATGGAAATTCTCATTTATAAACCATATTGACTTTAATCTGATGTGTCAAAAAGTTTGCCCAGGCGTCTGGGAGCCAACTATCTGAGAACATGGAAGTCAGGACAACAAAATAAGATTCAGAACATTTTTTCACATCTGCATCAGTGGTGAAACTTTTCCAGGGAACACGATGAAATTGTCCCTATCAGGCAAAAAAAAAGGCACTGGTTCTTGTCATCATTAAGTTGTCTTCTTACTGAAGTAGAAAGCTAGGGAAACAGTGAAGGGAAATTACAGTTCAAGTCTCATTTCTGTCCCCAGGACAAGAGGAGTGGAGGAGGCGCCCCTTGAGTTTAATGAGCAGCTTTATGTATTTATATGCTTTGACTGGAGCTAAAGAGGTCTGCACCACACAATGGACAGTTTCTACTTGGATTTTAAAAGAAATAACTTTGATCATTTCAAAAGCAATGAAGCCTGATGCAGCACAGAGAAAAGAAGGCAGTAATTTATGGCTACCATTAAGGACACAAAGACAAAGGCGGAGAGAACGTTTCACCAAGTGAAGATTTACAAATGTGTAAAAACCATCCTCACAACTAGAAATAGCTGAATGTCTCTCTCTTGGCACCAAACAAAAGCAGATGGGAGGGAGAAACAAAAGGCCAAAATCAGGATGCAACCTGCCTGCCTTCCTTAAGGATGAAAAGGTCAGGAGAAAAACAAGCACAGAGAAGTTACTTTCTCAGTTTCTCCATCAGCAATGCCCCCAAGAGGCAGCCTCAGCGAAGGAGCTAAGGTGTCAGATGAAGGGTCCTGAAGGTGCAGAGAGTAGGAGCTCTTGCTGGTGGATGGGTTTAAAGAGACATGTTTTGTGCATGAATTAGGTGAAAATTTGTTATGATATTTATTTTTGCTGTTTACCGAAGGAACATATAAATGTATGCATATACATGTGTCTAAATGCATACAGGAGAATGGGAAATATACAGACATTTATACCAAACAAACCCCAAACCCCTTGCTGTCAAGTTGGTTTTGACTCAGAGCAACCCTACAGGACAGAGGAGAACGCGCCACAGGCTCCCTAAGCCTGTGGTCTTTATGGAAGCAAATTGTCACATCTTTCTCCCACTGAGTAGCTTAGGTAGTGCGTTCAAACCAACCTTGCCGTTAACAGCTGAGCCCTTACCTGCTGTACTTCCAGTGTTTTGTTATACACGTACACACATCCATATATATTCCTTCCATAAACAGTAAAAATAAATGTCATTAAAAAATCTCACCTAGCTTATGCACAAAACACTTAAGTCCCTGGTAAAGAACATCATGCTTGGAAAAGTAGAGGGTCAGCAAAAGAAAGGAAGACCCCAGTGAGACAAACTGATAGAATGACTGGGCAAGCAAGTTTAGCACAGCAGAGGTTGTAAGAATGGCACAAGATCTGTCAGGGTTTGAGATGGAGCCAATCACATGACACCTAACAATAATATGTGTACACACACACACACACACACACACACACACACACACATTCCCATGCACATATTCACAGAAGAAAATTTAGTAATTTCAGAAAAGCTCAGAGAAAAACCTTAGAATCCCTGAGCATGCTGTATTGTTATGACAATTTCTCAGAAGTGATGCTGAGTAGAGTGGGCACCCATCACCTGTGCTGGGTTCTGGTACATATATTTCTCAGTCAGGACTGATGTAATGGGCCAGATCTGACGTTTATGAACTCTGGTGAGCATAGATGCTTCTTATGTCCCCGGCAGTCAGCTTACTCAATTAGCAAGGTAAGCATGGGATTTAGTTGTACTGATTTATCTTCAGGGCACAGTTTCACATTTTCACCACATCAAAGGCTGCGTCTCCTATAACACCAATTGCTCCTTCCTACAGAATCAATGCCTTTTCACATTTCTAGTACCTGGTAAGAAAGGTAAGCACAGGCTTACTTGTGCTTGCTTACCAATCTGCAGTGAACTGCTTCTCATGCTTTCCACCACATCAAAGATGTGAAATCCCTGTGAAATTGTTCCGAGTTTACCTTATTTAAAGAGCAGGCTGCCCCTGGCTCCAGGGAAACTTGATGTCTCTTGCCCTCTGGTGGCTCCTGGGGAGCGATGGTTCCTCTTTCCATTCAAGTTTGTTAAGTGCAGTTAAGTAAGTACAACTCACAGCGGTCCTATGAACAACAGACCCGAACTCTTAGCAAGATCAGCTAAGGAGAGAAAACCACAGTGAGATGGACACCGTCACTGCAGCAATGGCCTCAAGTGTGTCACCATTTTTAGGCTGCCCCAATGATGTTTAAGCGGTTTTCAATGAAATTTGTGCTTTCTGTTGTGATTTGGGGCCCAGCAGTATGTCAGAAGGGGGGGGGGAGGGCTTCTAGGTGAGCTCCTGGGATTGCCGTCTGGGGAGGACAGAGAGGGCTCAAGTTGGACAGTATGCAGAAGGACACAGGTGTGTATGCAGGTTCAAGCAGAGTTGCTTCTGGGGAGTCAGAGGTGTTTGGAAATTCACCCCATCTCCATTCACCTCTCTCAAATGGAGAAGAGGAAAGGGCAAGCCTCATAGGTTGTGTTCTGAGGCTTGATGAGCAGGGGACCCTATACAGGGCACTTTCTAGGTGCTCCGTGCCAGAATTTTCAGGCCAGAACGGCTTGTTTGTCCACAAAAGGGAAGGGGGCTTGGATCAGGTTGTAGGATACAGCGTGCGGGCAGAACACTGAGGCTCTGTGAGCCCCACGGTGGCCGGAGCAGCAGGTCCAGCGCAGGGCTGCACATGGGGTGTCCCCTCCAGGCGGTCAACCGCCCTCGGGCCACCCTGCGCCCAGGCTGAGGAGGGGGGGAGGGGACCGGGCGGGGCAGCACTGCCTCCCTCCCTCTCCCCCGCGCCGCCCGCCCCGGCCCGGGGAGGACCGTGTGAAAATGAGGCTGGGGCTCGGAGGGCGGGCCGGGCCGGGGGTGT